GGCTGCCTAAGGCACTGCCTCTTGACGGCCCAGAAAGTCAATGAAGAAAATGTTTAAATATCCCAAGTGACTACCGTGGCTCAACTATATGTTTATCAAGCGACGCAAATACTTTTTGTGCGAAAAAACAAACAAAAATAACGAGTTTATTCGACTATTTCTTTTTTTCCTTGTAGGCCAGAAACGAGACTTCCTTAGATTTCCACGACACATGCGCGAGAATTGCGATCTGCTTCAGAAGCAGTCTAGCAGACACGTCCAAAGAGTCACGGCAAGCGTCAGACCCACAGAAGATGGGCACGGTGCTCTAGGCAGCACACGATCTTCAGGAAAACGCCAGACTCTGGAGCCACAAGCTGCGGGTGCCCATCTTCTGTGGGTCTGACGCTTGCCGTGGAGCCACAAGCTGCGTACACATAACGTTACATTTCCACTTTAGAAATGTAACGTTATGTGTACTTACTGGAGCTCCCCTGTTAACTAGCTATAAAACGTGTTTACAGCAAAATCACAACTATATTGTCAAACTCCTTTACACTTTCAACAGTTAAAATGTTTACTCTACTGTATATAGTAGTTTAACACATACGAGTCAAACACAAGGAACCGTGTTTACTCACATTTGAAAACCCCTGGGTCGCTGATCTCCGCGATGTTGATAATGACATATCCTCTTGCGTGGCCTCCTGGAATAGATGAGTACAATCGGACAAACACTCAAATATCTGGGCGAAAGCAGGAGATCATGCGGGAACTTATCGCCTACTCTTTTATGAATACTGATTTTCGAACGTACTGCTTCTTTCACATACTGTATTCGCCTACTATATAGTAGGAAAGTAGGGATTTTTGAACGCACTTTTGTCCAAATCTCGCGATAATTAGTACATCAACCAGGTAATTCTCGCCTACTCTTTTATGAATACTGAGGATTCGAACGTACTTTTTTGCCTGCCTACTCTTTTCCCCTACTATACAGTAGGGATAAATGAGATTCCGAACGCAGCCTGTGTCTAAATCCATACATTTTCTACTTTACTTCCGAAACACTCTGATCAGCTTCTGTTTTGGATGAAAAGAATCTGTTGGATCCCAGTGCTGCTGTAATGTGGATGAGATTTTAACGAAGTGCCAGTGTGTGGATGTGTGACATGTAGACATATCACAGCAAATCACAGCTCGATAGACTTCACTCTTAAATAATAGAGTAATGCCATGTCTCTGTGGAACAGACCTTCCACTGATATTGACATGCAGTGTGTGTGTAGCTATCTGTTACAGGAAGTGAGAAAAACAGACACCCTCCAACAGTCTGCCACTTCGGATGAAGGGCATTTCAGCAAGGCAGTTTTGTATTGGTGAACAAATGTGTATCCACACTTTTCCCAAATGATTCTACCCGCACTGCATTTTCCCCTCATGCCGAAGGTGAAATCATTAGAGAGAGTAATGCAGAGAACACAGGCAGATAAAAAAACATCAGAAAACTGTGGTCTGCTTTGGTCTCAGCAGTTGGGGTGTGTGATTTCCTCATACAGAGTCCAAAATGAACACGCTGCAGCATCTGCCAAAGGTGAGTCAATTGAAGAAAAAAAAAAAATGTTGCCATAATAATTGTTACCGACCATGACGCTCTAATAAACTGCATTATTTTTTATTGTTTTTTTTTTTGTTGTTGTTTTTTTTGCATTATCGCAATGAATGAATGAATCTCAAACATCTGCACACACATTTGTATTTTTGTTTTAATGTCTTTTAGGTCAATCATGCTCTTTGCTCATACACTTCTTTTATCTTCTTGGGTCTTTTATCTATGGGTTTCATGAAAGTCATTTTACATCCATGGAACATAACCATTCTATAAAAGGTTCTTCATAGTGAAAAAAGTTTTTAGTGGATTTTTTTAATTTTATTCACACTAAGAAAAAAATAAATTGGTAACACTTACTGCTTATGATGAATTATATCCCAATTTATACTTTATTTATAACATATTCGAGACGGATTTGAATCCGATCGGTCAAAACCCACATCAGGATGTGGTCTGGGCCGCATTCCAAGTGTAAATGCATCTGGGTGGTGAAACCACTGTTGCAAATTTCAGGGAAGATGGAGGCAGGAACCGCAGAACAATCAAAATAAAACTTTATTTAAATGAAATAAAGAAACAAAATACCTGCCAGTTCCTCATGGAACTGCTGGCTACCCAAATAAAACATAACTGGCCAGCAGCCCCACGCGGACGACTGCTGGCTTACCAAAATAAAATAAAACACAAGCACAAACAAAAGCAGACCTGTTCCTCTCTCGATCATCCACTCTATCGCTCCCCCTTTGCTTCCGCTCCTCACGCGAGATCGGTGTGCTTCACAGGTGCTGCTCATTAGCAATCCCATCACCGGCCTCGCGATGTTCGCTCACGTCCCTTGGCCGTCTTGCTCACCACAACCACATATGTAAATTTTACTCCTCCCAAAAATGCTAAAAAATAAATGTGTGAGAGCATGTTATATAGGCTATATGTCATGTTATAGCCAGACATGAACCCTGATAGCACACATACATCACAGAGATGTCTATTTAATGTGTGTTTACGTCTGGAAGACGTATTTTTTAGTGTTTGCTCATCTGCAATATATATAGGACGTTTCCTGTCAGATGTCAAATAGATGTTTAGACATTGATTTAGAATGTATGTTAAATTGACATCTTAAAAGATGTCTATCAGATGTTAGTAAACAGCAGATGCTTTCCATGAAGTGATGTTTAACAGACATCTTGCAGACGTATGTGTGCTATCTAGGACGGCAATACTGCAGAACTGTGAAAGTAAGTCGCAGACGCTTAACACACAATGATTTTCATTAAAAGTAAAGAAACAAAATGATCTATTTCCGCTCTCTCTTATTGCCGTATTTGATTTTGAAATTAGCTGATGATCAATAAATCTGCTATCTGATCTGAGAAAACGCATGAAGTGGCCAGGTGTAAATGGAATCGTTTTGATAAATCAGATTAGCTATCCAATGCATGAAAAAAAATGCATGAAGTGGCCAGGTTTAAACAGCCCCTTAAAAACTGTTCACAGAAAGTTTCTTAGCGGTACCAAAAATGGTTCTTCATGGCATTGCTGTGAAAACACATTACTCCCCCATAAAATGTCAAGTTTGACTGGCCTTATTAGGCAGCTGCTGTAGGTGAGCTTGTGGCTTAGTACCGAAGCTTAGTACTGAATATTGCTTAGTTAATCAACCAATCGATCCTCATGTTAACATAGAGTACTTGCGGGGAATTATTGCTTGCGGAGAGCTTATTATTACCTGAAGGTTAACTGGAAGTAGGACAAAACAATTGTGCAAATCAATTGAGTTAATAATAATAAAGAATGGATAATAAAATAACAAATGGTTGTCAAATGAATGAACAAGTCATTAACCTCATTGAAATGTAGTGGATTGAAGAAGATGGTTCATAAATGTAAGCCTTCAAAGGGTTCTGTGGATTAAGCATGTCTCCAAGCCAATGCAGGAGATTGATAGTTGCTGTCTTTCAAAAATTGATTTCTGCTGAAGGGGTCAACACCTTGCCACACTGCCATTGGTTTTAGGATGTGCTACTGCAGATTGTAAGTTGAATTTGCTATTACTATTATTAATGCTTATACTTATTCTGTTTTCCAAAAACTAACCCTAAATTTAAAGCTGCTCTTTCTGCTATAGACGTAAACAAAATCTCAAATCATGTGACATAATGGGGGCAGGGGTGCTATTATTGTTCTATTTTTATTTCTAGGGGCTTGAAAAAGACATTGTGGCAGGGCTCTTTTAAATTTGCCAGAGAGCATTTATAGAAATCTTTATTTATTGCATTTAATAGCCTAATTGTGAAATCTGCACATTTATTATATTTATGAACATTATTAAAGAGCCCCTATCATAACATTTGAAATGTTCCTATTTTTGTTTTAGTTCCCAAAAACAGTTTAACGTGCATGCAAGGATAAAAAAAAAAAACACTTTATTTGTCTTATAATATGCATTTATTTTTAACTGATTTGCTCAATGACTCCCAAATGATTCGTTCGACGATTCATTTTCCCAAACACCTCCTTTGACCAATAATATCTGTCTGCAGAGCCACAGAGCCACAGTTTCACCCCAGCAGTTTTACACCAGCAGTTTCACCCCGCACATGCGCAGTTTCACCAAAGCAGTTTTACCCGCGCATGCGCAGTTTCAATATAGCAGTTTTACCAGCGCACATTGTATACATTCAGCCATACACCCATTTAATACATTCAGTATTAAAACGATCTAAATGGTATTGTAACCAATTATTTTGGCTTATTAGTCTGCAGAGCCACAGTTTCACCCCAGCAGTTTTACAACAACGGTTGTACCCGCGCATCCACAGTTTCAAAATATGGTTATTGTTAGCTATTATTTTTGCTTATTAGTTATTTTTTGCTCCTACTGTTGCTCGCAGGTCTTCAGTGTCCTTTACTGAAATAAAACAATGCGTGTATCAGGAACACTTTAATCTTTTATATTTTTCCTCCGAAAAAACAAACAGCCTGGCCTATCTGTACCTTTTTAATCTATGATATGTACACTTAATTGCTCAATGCCTGGTATAACACACAAACTTCTGATTAGACATTCAAAGGCAAACTATTAGTCTAAATCAATATGTCTTATTATTCTTAAATTAATTAAATATACCTAATGAAACAAATGATTTACAATGATTTCAAATATTTTATTAATTTGAGACATTACCAAGAATACAATTGAAAAATTAAATTCAATTACCAGACAGACTAATATACATACACAGACATACTAATACAGACAGACACACACACACACACACACACACACATAAATACATACATACATACATACTTATTCAGACAGACATACATACATTCATACACAGACACACTGATACAGACAGACACACACACACACACACACACACACACACACACCCACACACACACACACACACAGATTCAGACAGACAGACACCAAGTCTGTCACCAATAGGAAAAAAAATAATTAAATGTCAGGGTTGTAAAATGATGACACTCTAACATTTTTCTTGTCCCTAACCTCAGACATGAAAAAGAACATGTCCTCTCTGTTTTTGAATGTAAAATACAACGGGGCTCTTATTTCATCATCCTCATCCAAAGTTGTGTCACAATGTGTACGTAGTCGAGAAAGGGCGTTCAGTGCATCTGCCTCCTCCATGCTGTCAATGCGTGGTAGCAAGTACTTGCTCTTCATCAGCAAGTGATTGTCCTTCAACCATTCCACACCTTTCCTGATGCTGCTCATCATATTGGCATTCTGAAAAATATTTGAAAATTAACAGCAATCAACAATTTTATAGTTTCTGATAAATAAAACTTGAAGTCTAAATATATACAGTACATTGCAGAACTCTACAAAATACCTCAAGACTGTTTGGTGGCGTGACCCCCTCCAGCGCTCCTACGCCATACTCAACTTCTCCTGGTCCATTCATCGGCTGTAGAAGAGCAAAATGTGATGTAATGTATTTCAATTGTCTACAAGACTACAAAATGTTTCATTTAATAAAATGTATAATTTCAGAACCAAACTAAGAGTTGATTTACATGCGAGCGAATTCTGGTATTTGTATCAATCCACTTTACAAAAACAGAGAAAAATAACAAAGGTCAAAGTCGCTGCCCTAATACAGGGTGTCCACCAGTTAGGATTTAAGCCCTTTTTAATACCACATCATAAAACTACAACATTACATTTAGCAAGAACATGCATTTAAAGTAGTACATGCCTGTAATGGTTAGACTAGCTCTAGACCGCTTGGCTTGGGGCACATGTGTGTTCACAAGGGTCTTTTAGGGTCTTTCAAGGATCAACCCTGCAACAATGGGACTCACTTGGTGTGTGTTTTAAGAACCCAACTGATAACTGTGTCCCCTGAAAGACTAAGGGCCCGTCCACACGAAGACGCGTTTCGCTGTATACGTATACATTTTTTATGGTATTGGCGTTTCGTCCACACGGATCCGGCGTTTTGGGAGAGTGAAACCGCTATTTTTTTAAACTGGGTCCCAGGGTGGATAAATCTAAAAACAATACCCTTGTGTTTTCGTGTGTACGGCCAATCCGTATATTTTGTGAAACGATGATGTCATCACCCCATGTGTCAACTAGTCAGACAGTCACGTAACAGCAACAACAACTACCGAACAACTTGTCATATAATATAATATAATGCGGCAGAAAGTTCTGAGCCTCTTGTATTCCTTTGTTTATTATTTACTTTAATGTTTTTTATTTTTTTGTTTTTGTTTTTTAGGCCTATAATTTATTTCGTATGCTATGGTGCTGGTCTGCTTTGTAGGGATGGGGATTTAAAGCAAAAATAATATTCGATGACCGATGGAAATTAATTATTTGATTATTTTGGCTATTCAAAAAACGCACCCCCAATGTTCCACTCCGACATTACATTTCTCTGTAGGTTAGGTGTACGTGTTATAGCCATTAAGAAATGTATTAGGTCAGTTAGTTGTACAGTGCAGTCCACATAGTATTGCAATATTCATGTAATATTACAAATCAAAATAAACTTACACACAACACCCAGTGTCCTGTTTTCCACAAGGGAAAGAGAATCATGTCTTTCGATTCTGAATCAACCTATTGAGATAATGTTGAAGATAAAGAAAATGCATACAGAAAGTAGATAACAGTTTTTATATTAATGGGCATAAAATGCAATTGTGTTTAAGCATCAAAATGAAATAGCAAGAAAGTGCTCACTTACTGGGAAAGAAAGATTAGGATCTGCTTTTAAAGGGGGCATCCAGCTTGCTACCACATATGCATCAATGGCATGTACATCCTTTCCCTGACAATGAATCATTTCAATAATTGTTAGACACAGTAGTTAACACACAAAATACCTTGAGAGAGAGTAATCATTGATAGCAATATACCTGATGTATTCCAATATCGCTCATCATTTGAAAACAGCAATTGGCAATCTGTATAATTGTATCAATTAAGGTTTTTGAAAATGTATGTGAAGCATTTCTCATGTGTTAGTAAACATAGAGTTCCCTATCGAGGGAACTCAACACTGCGTCGATAAAATCGACTCTTTGGGGACGCTCCCTAAGCGTGCGCCTCTGAAGTATGAATGAAACTAATCCAATCCTGATTGGTGTTGCGTCGTGACGTAACATGTGACGGCATACCCGGAAGTATAAAAGTGACGCTGTCACAACACACACTAGCTTTCGCTCTTCAGCAAGCGCTTTATGTTGAAACTGTCTGTCTTATTTGGTGTTGTTTGTCTTATTATTGAAAGAAAGTATGGCCAGTGAACAATTCAAGAGGTGTGTGCATCCCTGTCCTCGTTACATCACGGGTGGGGACGCACACTCTCTCTGTGTGTATTGTTTGGGAGTGCAGCACGCACGGGCAGCTCTCGAGGGGGCTGCTTGTGAAATGTGTGAGGCTTTGCCTATTAGAGTGCTGCGCTCCCGGCTGGCGTGCTTTGACGAGCACGGTCAGGCTCGCGTTCCCCAGGGTTCCGGTCCCGCATATGTCGAGGCGATGCGGCGACTGAGATCCTGGGGTTCGCAGCGGGATCTGGCGGAGGAGAGTGAGAATGCTGAGGCATTTTCTCGCTCGCCATCGGCTGATCCCGCAGCCTCTGAGAGTGGTGTGGGAGCCCGCGCTGCGGTTTCTCCTACCCGCGATCAGGTCCCGGTGCTTGAGCTGTCTACTTCTGAGGAAGGGGACGTGCTCAGCATCGATGCGGACGACCGTGATCTCAGCACGCCATCACGCGGCCTGGGTTATGAGGAGCTGGTGGAGGTTGTAACACGCGCTGTGGCCAGACTAAACATCAGCTGGCCACAACATGAGCAGGAAACGCAAGTCACCAGTAAAATGGACGAGCGTTACCTGCAGCGCAGGTCACAGCCTCACCGCCGGGGTCTGCCGTTTTTCCCTGATCTCCATAAAGAGATCTCGAGAACGTGGGAAAGACCGCATTCGTCCCGTATTTCGAGTCCCAATGTAATAGATTACAGCAATGTTATGGGGGCTCGAGATATGGGATATGGGAAGATGCCGAAGGTGGAGGAGGCTTTAGCGAGCTATCTCTCTCCCGAATCGGCGTCTTCCCTAAAGACCCCGGTGTTGCCTAGTAAGCCCTGCAGAGAGACATCTGCATTGGTGGGCAGGGCTTACATGGCGGCGGGTCGGGCTGGTTCGTGTCTGCACTCAATGGCGATTTTGCAGGCATACCAGGCCGACCTCCTGAAAGATTTGGATGAGGGGGAGGGGCCTACTCCTGAAGATGTCGCGGAGTTAAGGAAGGCCGCAGATTTGTCTCTCCGGGCCACTAGGGAAGCGGCCAGCGCTATTGGCCGCTCTATGGCGGCCATGGTGGCCACGGAGAGGCATCTGTGGCTGAACTTATCCGGTATTAAAGAAAAGGATAGGTCCTTCCTGCTGGATGCGCCGCTTTCGGCTTCTGGCCTGTTCGGCGACGCCGTTAATTCGGTTGTCGACAGGTTTCAGGAGTCGAGAAAACAATCTGCGGCGTTCCAGCAGTACCTCCCCCGGAAAGCGAAGGCCAAATCTAGTAGGGGGGGCAAAGCAATCAGCCCCAGCCATCAGCCAGCTCCTCCCACAGGGCAGAGCAGAAGGAGAGCGTTTCCTCTAGAGCCCCCCTCCGGGGTCTTGGCAACAGAGGAAACGCTCCCAAAAACCGAAGTCCTCCAGCCAGAGGGGCGACCTGAGGGACGTCATTCAGGCTAAGAGGACTTCGGAAAAGAGGTCCTAGCCAAGGCAGGACTTCAGAGGGCTGCCCCCTCCGCAGTGAGACAACCGAGGTTGTTCTCACAACGGGGCCCTCTAGGAAAAGATGCAGGTCCGCCGTTAACAGCGCTTCGGGCCGCATCAATTTCCAGCGAAAAGACACCAGAGGCCAGCCTCGAGAGGCTGGTACCCTTAGCAGATTTTGTAGAGGGATGGTATCATCTTCCCAACATATCTCCATGGGTCCTGCAGATAATACGAGTTGGGTACAGACTGCAGTTCGCGCACCGCCCCCCAAGTTCTCTGGGGTGGTGCTCACTGCGGTGGTCCCAGAGCAGGCTCAGGTGCTGGAACAAGAAGTACAGACTCTGCTGTCGAAAGGAGCCATAGAACGTGTTCTTCCGGTAGACAGGGAGTCCGGGTTTTACAGCCGGTACTTTATAGTTCCAAAGAAGGATGGGGGGTTAAGGCCAATTTTGGATCTCAGAGTGTTGAACCGGTCTCTGAGAAAGTTCAAATTCAGAATGTTGACCATTCCAACAATCGTGAGTCAAATCAGATCCGAGGACTGGTTTGTCACGATAGATCTGAAAGACGCCTATTTTCACATCTCCATCCTTCCTTGTCACAGGAGGTACCTGAGGTTCGCTTTCGGGGGCGAAGCATACCAATATCGGGTTCTTCCGTTCGGCCTAGCACTCTCTCCCCGCACATTTACCAAGTGTATGGACGTGGCCCTTGCTCCACTGAGACTTCAGGGGATTCGCGTATTGAATTATCTCGACGACTGGCTTATTTTTGCCCAGTCTCGGGAGATGGCAGTTCGGCATCGAGATGTCGTTCTTGGCCATATTCAAAAATTGGGGTTAAGACTCAATTTGAAGAAGAGTGTGCTAGAACCGTCCCAGGGCACGACCTTTTTGGGAGTCGTGTGGGACTCGATTACAATGCAGGCACATATGTCTCCCGCACGTATCGAGTCAATTCTGGCGATGGTGTCCAGGGTGAAGACCAAGGGGTTCTCACCCAAAGGGAATCCGTTCCGTATGATCAGAGTAACGCGCAAGTGCCTTCAGTCTCTGCAAATATGGAAGAAGCCTTGGTTCCTATCCCAAGGGCCAGTGTTGGGGGTGTCATGTCGCCGGGAAACCGTTTCGACAGACGCCTCCCTTACGGGCTGGGGCGCGGTCATGGACGGCCGCTTTACCAGGGGTCTGTGGCAGGACCATCATCGCACTTGGCATATAAATTGCCTGGAGATGATGGCGGTATTCAAGGCTTTGGGGAGCTTCCTCCCAGACATCGAGGGTCGCCACGTCCTTATACGGACGGACAATACGTCAGTGGTGGCCTATCTGAACCGACAGGGGGGACTCAGATCGCGCCCTCTGTGCAGACTGGCGCATCAGATTATCCTTTGGTCCCAGGAAAAGATATTGTCAATAAGGGCAATGTATATCCCAGGGGTTCAGAATCGGGGAGCAGACATCCTGTCGAGGCAGGGGCTGAGGCCCGGGGAATGGAGACTTCATCCGGATGTGGTGAAGTCGATATGGGAGAGGTTCGGACCGATGGAAGTGGATCTGTTTGCGTCTCGAGAGACGTCGCACTGTCCACTTTGGTTCTCCCTCTCACATCCAGCCCCGCTGGGGTTGGATGCCATGGTACAGGCTTGGCCGAGGCTTCGCCTGTATGCTTTCCCCCCGATCGCTCTGCTCCCAGGGGTCCTGGAGAGGGTCCGTCAAGAGGGCATCAGTCTACTTCTGGTTGCCCCGAGATGGCCGACACGAGTATGGTTCTCGGATATAATATCACTCCTCATAGCTCCGCCATGGCCGATTCCTCTGAGGAGGGATCTATTGTCTCAGGCGGAGGGCACAATCTTCCACCCTCGCCCAGAGTTGTGGAAGCTGTGGGTCTGGCCTCTGAGGGGGTTCAGTACCTAAATGCTGGCTTATCAGCTGAGGTGGTTGAAACCATACTTAGCTCTAGGGCCCCATCTACCAGGAGATTATATGGCCTCAAGTGGAAGGTTTTTCACACTTGGTGTGGAGAACGAAGGTTGGATCCAGTAAACTGCCCAGTGGCTTCAGTTCTGGAATTCCTTCAGGATCGTTTCTCTGCGGGTCTCTCCCCGTCCACTCTTAAGGTGTACGTGGCTGCCGTTTCGGCTTTCCACGCGCCAGTAGATGGTGGACCTCTGGGGAGGCACCAATTGGTCATTAGGTTTCTCCGTGGTGCTTGGAGGATGAGGCCGGCGATCAGGTCCAGGGTGCCTGCCTGGGATCTGGCAATAGTTCTGGAAGGGTTGTCCCTCGCTCCCTTCGAACCTTTAGAGTCGGCTTCGCCTAAGGACTTAACGCTGAAAATGGTCTTTCTCTTAGCGATTACCTCTCTTAAGAGGGTGGGAGATCTCCAGGCCCTGGCGGTAACGCCAGCTTGCTTGGAGTTTGCCCCTGGCAAAGTAAAGGCCTTTTTGCACCCGAGTCCGGGCTACGTGCCTAAAGTTCCTTCGAGTACGGCTCGCTCTGTAGTCCTTCAGGCATTCCATCCTCCACCTCATGTGTCGGCGGGAGAAATGAGGCTTCACTTGCTCTGCCCCGTCAGAGCTTTGAGTGTATACTTGGAAAAGTCTGCTTCTTGGAGAAGATCTGACCAGTTGTTAGTATGCTTTGGGTCACCTAAGAGGGGGCTCCCGGCGACCAAACAAACTATAAGTAACTGGATTGTCCAGGCTATTACTGAGGCTTACAAGGTGCGTGGGGTTCCTTCACCTTTGGCCTTAAGGGCTCACTCGACTAGAGGCATGGCTTCCTCTAGGGCCCTTCTGTCGGGAGTACCTCTGCAGGAGATTTGTGAGGCAGCCGGCTGGGCTACCCCGCATACTTTCATCAGGTTTTACAGTCTCAGCCTTCCCAGTACGCCCGGTGCACACGTACTCGGCCCTTGCTGAGTGCCTAATCAGTTTCACTCTGGGGCGGGTCTGTTCGGTGCGTGGCCTAGTGGGTACTCGTTCCCCAAAGAGTCGATTTTATCGACGCAGTGTTGAGTTCCCTCGATAGGGAACGTCTCGGGTTATGACTATAACCCTTGTTCCCTGAGAAGGGAACGAGACACTGCGTCGTGTTGCCACGCCCCCTTTTCAGACCCTTGAGCGTCTTGCTTCATCGCGAGGCTAGTGTGTGTTGTGACAGCGTCACTTTTATACTTCCGGGTATGCCGTCACATGTTACGTCACGACGCAACACCAATCAGGATTGGATTAGTTTCATTCATACTTCAGAGGCGCACGCTTAGGGAGCGTCCCCAAAGAGTCGATTTTATCGACGCAGTGTCTCGTTCCCTTCTCAGGGAACAAGGGTTATAGTCATAACCCGAGACGTTTTACATGCAAACATACAACTTACTGTTGCCTCAACTTCATGTTGATGTAGACCCAATGATATGAAGTCAGAGCGTTTTAGTGTGGTTGTGCCAACATCCACGATTGGCTCATCTGGAGTCCTTATTGTGTCCAAGACATAATCAAGCTTGAAACAATGTTCAGATATTCTCAAATATTATTTATCAATGAATAAAATTGCAATAATTTATTTTGCTTTTATATTTTCTAAACATTCATACCAGTGCCTTCTGACCAGCATGCAAAGTGAACTTCCATGGTACTTTTGTAGCAGAGATGTTTTCCAGTGATGTCAGATATTTAAATTCATCACCACATACCTGAAATGTTTGTCTATACAGAAACAAGATTAAGCACCAATCCAGGACATTTCAGGCAAACATCCATCTGCCACACTCACCAATTGAAATCGACATCTGTGTGGAGGGTTCTTCAGTAGGGATCTCAGTGGAAACTGCACTTCCTGAAAAGACAAAAATTCACAAAATGTGACGTCATGCGCATCCTTTACTTGGGCTTACATCCATATGGCAGCCATTAGTAAGCAGCAGCAATCGCTAGCAGTAATGTTTCAAATGGACTCTGCGAACAGAAAGAAGCGACCAGCCTCCAGCTCAATTCAGACATCCACGGAAACTCCTCATAAGTTTAAAAAAAAAAAAAAAACGTATCTAGTGTGGCCAACGAGCGTGCACACCGAGAACAAGCAAGCATGAGACTGACAGCGGTTTCTTTAACGGCCACTGGTGTCAGTAACAGTTAGAAATGTCAGAACTTGTGCAATGATCCTTTAAATTCTACACAATGTAATCTTAACTAAAACAATGATCTGCTGCAACAACATAAATTTCTATGGTTAACTTAACATGGAATAGTTTGAGAGAGTTTAAGATAATTTGATGCTCACCCATCACAGCTTGGCCATGGATGTTCATTGACACCTCAACTCCAAACGCCTTCTGGATTCTCTCCAACCTTGTGTTGTTTTACTGTACATTAATATGGTGAACAATGTTCCTCATCAGGAATACATGGGTAGATGGCTGGCTCATGTTCAAGAAGTAATTGTTTTTTTTTTAGTTTGGCAAAGAGCTGCTCTGCCACTTGACTATTAACTTTCCCAGCCAGCTGTGGGACCGGGGAAATTTTCCGCAGAAGGTCCCTGTCATCTTTTGTATTCACCTCGTGGAACTTGTCATACAAGCAATAATGCTCTGCTGAGCCAGTCACTGGGTGCCCTCCCCTGTCTGGGACTATTTTTGGGCTTTCCAGCCAATGTAAGGATACCTTCGCCTTTCCTTGTTTTGCCAAGGCTATTGTTTCCTTCAGAAGGTTGCAGTAAGCGACCTTCAAAGGGGCTAAAGGGGACTTTTTCCGGTTCCCTCAAGTTAGTGTGGGTGGCAAGTCCACGCGCAAAGTCATATATCGCCACATTTGGCATGTGCCTCCATGACAGAAGGATATCGGCAAAGTCACGTGGACTCTCGGAACGAATGTTGTGCTTTATACTGTACAGTATCCCTCAGGGGCACAGGACGACTGCTGCCCATCCTCCTGAGAAAATATGTGACAATGCCACAATAAAAAAAGTCCATAAACCATCACATTAAAGACATTATGTTAATGTCATTAAAATTTACATTGAAACTTCCATCCATTTGTACCAGGTTAGAACTCTGATATGTAAACTTAGGCGTTTGTACAATTTTCAAATAGCATAATAAAGTATGCACCATTCACCACCATTTCATGTTTCAATAAAAAAGTGATTACCTGAGGCGGCCCAAATTTTCTGAAACACCTTATCGTAAGTGTGTCTTGATTTCATCTCACGGGAAATTCTGAGAAGAAGATCATTACGAGAGCCTGTGGCATCTAAGCCACACTCTCTACATAGCTTTCGTATAACTCCCACCTATTCAACAAAGTAAGACAAAGAACAGCATGTCAACGTAAAATAGTCCTTTTAGAAAAAATTATTAAGTTAGGAAAGATTAATTTAAATGTAGCCCATAATCCACAAAACTGAAGTATGTTTTAAGTATGCTTTGTTGATTAAATACAGACATACCTTTTGTTTAGAAAGCTCATCTGTAAGGCGGTCCTCAGTGACTGTGATCTCTTGCACATCAGATACAGATTTCAGGGTACTCATGTACTTTAGCAAACTCTGTATTGAGTACAATATCTGACCTTGTGCGTGGACCAATCCACGGAGCCCAAAAGTGTTAAGTTGGTGGGACCAAAAATGGATTGTGTTTTGAACCTTCCAAGAATTCCAGATCGAGTTATTGGTTAATACATATTGGATTATTATGTAAATTGTATTGGTATCTTAAGGCCGTAATTACTTTTTACAAATCCACCACCAATCATCTCCATAGCCAGTGCATCCCAAAACATGTCCATATCCACTTCCCCATTGTAACTCTCAGGAGGATCTTCCAGATCACTTACTTAAATAGTAAAGAAAATAAACATTTTTTTTTCGCCAAAAAAAGTTGACAACAGATGCAACAGTACATTAAGCAGACATATTGTTACTTAACAAATGAAAGGCACCCTTTTTGTGCAAATCCATTATGACCACAGCAGGGTGATCACCGCAGGTCACACAGGAATAGTTGTATTCATGGTCAGTGAGGGCCTCAAAGTGAAGATAAGCATGAAGCACTGCATCCTTAGAGGGAAAATTAACTCCTGTGTTAAGCTCAAGGTAATCCACTGCTCTGCTGACTGCTGTTTGGACCTTGGTTAGAGTAGAGTTAGGTTTAGGGTAGGGTTGTGTTATCTTAAACAATAGCTGAATTTTGCCATTTGCAACAACAACAACATTTCTGAAATGTGTTTTAAATCAACATAGTGAATATGACAAGCATGGTGGGCTAAAGCCATGTGATTGCCTTGTCACATTGATATCAAAAGACCTGAAGTAAGTTTCTCAATGAGACACACAAGGGCAGGTCTAGCAATATGCGGTCACTGAAATTGTGCACACCATCTTTACACTCTTGATAACGGTAACACAAGTCACAGACCGGGCAACGTTTTCAGTAAGTGGAAACATCTAGAAGTTGGATGATTCAACAGGCGATACATTAATTTTGCACTGAGAAATATGTTTACATATAAGGCACAGAGTGTGACATTGTAAAATCTGGTGTATAGAATTGGCTTTATGCACAGCTGCACTACTTCCTAGCAGAACTTAAGCCAGTTCTTTGTTTCCTGTCTGTCATTATTGGCCAAATTGATTAATTCAGGTGTGCCTGACCTCAGTAGTCACGGCAACAATAATCAGACACACCTGAATTAATCAAGTTCGCCCAATAATGGCAGACAGGAAACAAGGAGCTGGTTTAGTTCAGGAAGTAGTGCAGCTGTGCATAAAGCCCATTGTTTATTACACTATATTTAGTGCTTATTATATAGAGCGAAGTCATATTTGGCTAAGTCGTTTAGGAGGTAATTGCCATTTTTCAATGAATGTCTGGTGAATATCAAAAACAAAACTAACTTTACCCCGCTTAGAAGCTGCACGGAGTGTACACAACACACACAACACAATATAACTATATTGTGCATGCTACAGAAAACATAACAGCAAACATTATTAATATTACTTACAGATTGTGATTCGGAGGAGGACGAACCTGATCCATATACACTGGATTGCACATATTACTCGTTGCAAATAAGAACTCTGACCACTGATTCTTCACATGCTCGTCCCTGGACAGTATTTGAATGTGTTCTAGACGTCACTTCAAGTCTGTGCGCAGTTGTTGGGAGCGGCCAATGACCTATCTACGTCACGATTAGGGTGGCCATACGTCCGGATTTTGGCCGGACAGTCCGGATTTTAAGCTCTGTGTCCGGCGTCCGGCGCAGCCTCAAGCCGGACACTCATTTGTCCTCGTTTTTGGAGTTGATCTGAATCGGCCCAAAAAAAATGGCTCTAGAATCTTTATTGAGACGCAGCAGCATAGCGTCTAATGCCGTAAGATCTCTAGTCAAACACATGATTGCAGGGTTGCCAACTCTCACGTGAGTTTCACGCAAAATTGAGCCAATTCTCACGCTCTCACGCCACACCCCCGATTTCTATGGAATTACTTTTGAGCCAATAAAAATGAACGTCACTTTTCAAGAAACTAATGAAAATATAAATTGAAACTGAATAAAATATCTTTGAAACTGAAAAAGAATGAACCGCAAACAATTTTTTTGACTTTGTTTTTATTACGCTACATGTTTTGCTAACTATTCCTCATATTTCGTTGGTAACACTTTAGAATACGGTTCCTTCGGTAATGAATAACTACACAAGAACCAATGAGTATCACAATATTAACAATCTAGTAACTATTGTTAACTAACAAGAAACTCTGATTAACGAACTAGTAAGTAATAGCGCACAGATGCAAGTGGTAGTTCACTATTAAGTAATCAATAATTACTATTTTTTAATACTTCCCAGAGAACTACTGAAAAAGTTTATTAATAATCTAGTAACTACTAATAACTAAAAGAAACTCTTATTAACGAATTAGTAAGTAATAGCTCACAGATGAAAGTGTTACTAGATACTTCTGTGGGAATTACTAATTATTTGGATCCGTATTATAAAGTGAAGATCATTGGAACTAACTAGTAATGACTCAAGTGTTACTAAAGACATTTTCTAAAAGTTACTACACTGTAAAAAATTTCTTGTCAAATTAACAGTAACTTACTGGCAACAATTATCCAGTACTTGCTGTATTTCATTTAACAGTAAAATTACCTTAACACTAACTACAGTACTGTTAAGCATACTGCAAATTAAATAACATTATTTTACTGTAATTTCTTACCATATTAAAGTACAGAATTACACTGTTAATTTTTAATAATACTGTGTAGTATGAAATGTTATTGTATTTATTTTATAGTGCTACTGTGTAACCTGTAGAAAATCCGTAGAAATATTATTTTAACTGTTAATGGGAAATAGAAAAAAGAACAATTGAAGCTTTAACTGCACAAGGTTTATTGTGTATTTTCAAACACATTAGTACATTTACATAATATACATTTAAATACATTAATACAATTAAATACATTAATAATACAAATGTAATATAATACAATAAAAATCATGCATGACAATCATGAACAATTATGCATAAATACATGCAAAAATTATCATGAACAGGTAAAATAGAAAAGATTAAAGGGGTGCTATCTGATCAATCTATTAGAAAGATAGTTCATAACAACTCATCCACCCACTCCCTGCTGGGGTAAAACAGCTTAAACTAGTCTAAGATTGTCTATGGGCTATATGCACACATAAATTCCGCATTTGACGCAAGGATGCTCGTCCATTTCCGGTTGTGGAGATTAAAGCGGAGGAAAACCGAGGAAAACGGGATTATGGCAGAGTCTTCAAAATTTACTGTCCTCCAGTCTTTGAAATGAAACGTGCATACGTTTAGATGTAATTTTATATATAGTTATGTTTATTTAATATAATTTTAAAAAGAAGCATAAACACAACAAGGGGTGTCTGTTTTATCTGTTTTTGTGACTAACGTTTCTTTAGTATAACCATGGAGTATAAAATTTAATATAAATTCTCAGTATTGCATTGGACTCTACGATCGGCGGAAGTTATCGAGCATCCCTAATGCTTCACCGGAAATACCGCCGTGCATAGAGCCCATTGGTTTGAGATAGATTGGTTTTGTCTAACTGGTCAGTTGCTGATTTTAAATGGTTTTTGGCTGCTTTCTATCTAAGGGACCAGATTTGCAGGGCTGGGAGACACATATAAACTTATAAACTATAGACCATTTCACAAGATGTAAACAACACTGGTCCAGAAGCACTTCCTGTTTCAGTTTTTTAACACTACATAAGAGCTGGGATAAAATACAACCAACAGAACATATAAAACTGAATCAAAAAGTTAAACAAACATCTTTAAGATGTTTTCTTTACATGTGAAATAAAGAAAACAGTTACAAACTGAAACAGGAAGTGCTTCTTGA